CACATTTTAGTGAACTGATATTTTAAAATGTCTCTGTTTTTAGGAACTCTTAATCTTTTGAGCCACCTTGGCTTCATTGAAAACCTAATGGAAGATGCATAATTTCTCCCAAGACAAATGCCCATAACTGGCAGATGATTTCAAAATTGCCAACTTTGTTACTTTAAAATAATGAGTCTACTTTAAAGGAAATAAATAGTTTCTTCTGAGCCTAATATGAGCATCCATTGCCTGGGAACACAGTGAAGTTATCCTGAATAACATGCTCCACTGTGAAGAGGATGCACAAACATTGATCATCACAGAACAAAGAAAGTCATAAATGAATACATTCACTGATTACATCAGTAGGAGCTTCAGGCGGGCAGGCTGCAGAAAAGTGGAAAAATCTCTTCCGTGGCTTTCAGATGTTATAGAATTCTTCACTTTAGAGGTGGTGGAGGCTAGTCGTCCACTCACCTTAATGATAACATTCCCAGAAGTTTATCTAGGAGACATAAGAATGTAAGGTCAGATTCAAAAGTTCAGGTAATGGCCAGTAAAGCCCAGCATTCTGGGAGGCTGGGCAGAAGAACCACAAGTTCAAGCTCAGTCTGGGAAATCTAGCAACTTAGTGAGATCCTGTCTCAAATTTATAAATTAAAAAAGAGCAAGAGCTATAGCTCAGTGAAAAGGCTCTGGGTTCAATCCCTAGTGCTGCAGATAAATAAATAAATTTTTAAAAGGCCTCAATAGCTCAAGATAAGTTTGGCTTTCAACCTACATGAGAATGTCTCCCCACCATCATGGTGTTCAATGAAGGAATGAAAGTCAGGCAGTCCGCAAGATCTTTATTATAGATGTGGCTTCTGCAGACAGCTTCAGTTCACAGCATTCACAAAACACCCAGGCAAAGAGCATCTGCCCTAAAGTCAACAAGGCCACACATGGTGCCTTGACCTGGCATTGTTCCAGAGTTTTCCACCACGCCACATGGACAAGCACGTGTGGGCAGACATTACTACCATGCCCCACCTTTGATGGCAGCTGCATTTCTCTGGCTGTGAAAGCAATCCCAGTCATCAAGTCTGCCTCGAAAACACTTGCCCTCGCTGTCAGATAAAGAGGTGCTCTGAGGTGGTCTCTTTTGGGTTAGCACTGTATTGGTCAGCTTTCTCATCACTGGGACAAGATCCTGACACCTATAGTTTAAAAGAGAGGTTAATTTGGGCTCACAGTTTCCAGGGTCCCACTCCATGGTTCACTGGCTCCAAGGCACAAATGTCATGGCAGAGGGGCCTGGCACAAGACAGCTGTTTACCTCAGGACTGGACGCAGACAGAATGGAAGAGCCAGAGAGAGCAGAAAGGGCTGGGGACAGAAATACACCCTTCCAGGTCACCCCCACCCCATGACCCACATCTGCCAAGCGGCACCCACCTCCCAACAGTAATTCAGCTATGAATTCATCAATAAATTAATCCACAGGTGTGTTTAGTGCCCTCATTATCCAAGCACCTTGCGATATCCAATCTCTGAACACAGGAGAGTTTTGGGGACATTTTAGATCTGGACCCTAACAAGCAGTTTTTGCATGTGATGCAGAGACCCAGAAGTTATTCCAGATTTGACACTTTATGGTCAGAGCTGATCGTCGAGGTGGGGATTTTTTTTTTCTTTAAATATGTGGAAAGAATCTTGGTTAGAAAAGCAGTTTTATTCTATTTACAACCAACTTTCAACTACCACACAGTTTTAAGTATAATAAACAGATGTCAATTAAAAAGTGACACAGGGTAAGATCACAATAATGTAAAGATCTTAATTGGCTTTATTTGCAATTCTGGAATCAGATAATGCTTTCATTCCATAAAATAGAATAAATGTTGCAACAAGCAGAGCAGAGAGGTTGGTTTTATGGATGGAAAAGGATGAAGAACACATAAACAATACCAGAAAGAGGGCTGGTTGTTTACAAGTTACTTTTCTTGTAAGGCGGAAAGGAGGAGACAGAACAATAGAAAATAACTGCTGGAGTCACATCAGGTTATTTCAGTTTAACTCTTTTTGAATGAGGATTAAGGCAAAGGCAAGTTCATTATCATGCCAACGGAAACCAGTCTGTTTAGATAATTGGGTCGACATCTCTCTAATCCTTGTTTCTTAGAAGTTCAAATAAACAGCTTAGTTTCAGCTTGGTGACCTGTGGAACTTTAACATGAAGGACTCCATTTTGATTTTTAGCCTGGCCTGTGGAGGCCCATTGCAGGAGCTTAATCCAAAATTCCAGCCTCCTATAGCTTGTATTTAACTAACATAAGTGAGAGCCAAAGGACACAAGGATGAGGGTTCCATAGGCTCTGGTGATACAAGAATGGGTCCTAAGATCAAACTTCCCTAGGTTCATTTGCTGAAAAAAAAAAAAAAAAGTCCATCATCCATCCAGCGAGTGGCCCACTCCCTTGAGTAGAGGCATCAGCTTGGCACAAGGCATGCACATTCCTCCTTCCCTCCACCTGCAGTCGTTGCACTGGAAGTCACTTCTGTGTAAGGATGATGACAAGATGACAATGAATGCCGGCACCACTTTTAACTTGGCACAGCTCTCACTCTGTGTCAGTCTCGTGTCTTGGTCACAGTGCCTGAAAGAGAAGGAGCCAGCTGGAGCGCATGGCCTGGCTCAGCCCACAGCACCCGGTAGTCCCTGACCAGGCCACCAGCCTGCGAGTGCAGATTCAGCTGAGTCACAGCGCTGCAGGCTGCTCCTGCCGCTTGTCTGCTTGCGGCTCTGTCTGTGCAGAGCTCTCAGTGAAGTGACTGACCCCGGGTAGAGACAGACCTCATCTCTGCAGGACTCTGAATGCCAAAGGCAGGGACTGACTGGAAAAGACACAGAAAACTTGCCAAACAGGGCAGAGCTTTCTGAGAGGCTAGCTAGCCTTCCCTCACCTGCCTTTCTTTTAGGGACTCCTGTCATTAGGAATCTGGAGAGGAAAAGAAACTTTGGTGCGTAACATTTTTAGTTTGGATTTTTAATTTATGTTGCGCTGGGTTGAGTGGTAGAGTATTTTCCTAGTATGGGTGTGGCCCTGGGTTCCATCCCCAGCACTGAGATAGATAGATATAGATAGATAGATAGATAGATAGATAGATAGATAGATAGATAGATAGATTTCACATTGATTTTATTAAAATTAACCAACCTAAAACAATTGAACCTCATTGAAACAATAGTAAAAAATGAAGCCAGGTGTAATGGCGCATGCCTGTAATCCCATCACCCAGGAGGCCGAAGTAGGGGGATCACTGCAAGGTCAAGGTTAGCCTGGCCTACACAGTGAGTTTAAGACCAACCTGCATTGCATATGTCTCAACTACAAGAACAACAACAGCAACAAAAGTAAAAAATGAAATTCCAGTGGTAGAATCTGCTTTCACCATAAGTGGTGAACTAAATTAACTGGTTAACTAAGAAGGGAATCTACTTGCTCTTTTGTGAGACAGCTGATTTTGCCTTTTTTCATTGATCCTTATTCACTATATACAGTGTGATCAAGAAATACTGTGAGCGTTTAAATGTTTTAAATTGTATTATAGCAAAGACACATTGCCATTAATCCCCCCTCAAGATTCTTCCCCTCACTTCAAACGCATTTAGCCAATCATCCTTGCCACATTCTGAGGCAGTTCTGGAGTCCTCTTTCATCAGTGTCTGCGCTGTTCTAGCTTTGTCAGCGTCCTGAATCCATCTGGTAGGTTTACCTTTAATGGTCATTTTGACTTTGCAGATGAGTCAGAAGTCACCGTGGTGTGAGATCCGGTGTGTCAGGTGGATGAGGATGCAACACTGTGTTCTGTGAGCTGCCTTTCTATTGGATGGCACTCGACAGGGCATCCACCATATTTTTTTAATCACACCTCATAAAGACACCCAGGAAAAGATTTCCAGGACTGCTTCAGAAAGTGGCAAGAACAATGGGATCAGTGTGCAAAGCAAGGTGAGATAGTCTGAGGATGACTAATGGCAATATATCTTTTACTGTAATAAAAATTTTTAATTTAAGTATTCATCATCTATTTCCATCATTCCTTATATGTTGAGTTCTGACTAGGTGATTACTGTGAAGAATACACAGCTGGGCCTTCTGAGAGCTTAATAACTCATGGAGGGACTCAAAGAAAATACATTTTACACCAGGCATGGTGGTGTTCACCTGTAATCCCAGCCCTTGAGAGGCTGAGGCAGGAGGATCACTGCAAGTTCGAGACCAGCCTGGGCTACATGGCGAGTTCCAGGTCAGTCTCAACTATATAGTGAGACCCTGTCTCAAAAAACACCCTTCCCCAAAAAAAGAAAATACATTTTTAATACACTTATATTGTTTGTCTCTCAGAATATGAAGTTGGAAGATGATTGCCAAAAACATCATTCATGCGGGTGGGTGTCCCAGTAACTGTGGCTCAATAGTTTCCTGATCGATCATAAAGTGCTCTGCACGTGTCTGGTTTCTGGATGCAGCAGGGAAGGCAGTTGCCTGGGACCATTTTATTCCAGGCTGGCACATAAGGGACCCAGGTATATATAGGTCCAAGGGTTCCATTTCCCTGGGGCTCAGTTTCCTCTCTCAGAGAACAAAGGACTTCCACCTCCTCCCTGGAAAGGGAGCCATTATTAATTTTGGAAAGGTGAGGAAGCTCAGCCCTGAGGAAAGAAAGTGCTTTCTCCTTCTGTACTTTAACCACTGCTGGGCCTTAAAGTAGCTGTTAAAACCAATGAAAAAAACAGTTCTCCCTTGCCCCAGGCCTAAGGACAAATGGCTGTTTGCAAAGCTACACAAAGGCCTTAATTAGAGTTCACACTTGGGTTTGATGCAAAACAGGAGGCTGAATTCCAGGGTAGGCCAGCAAGGAATCATCAGTAAAGGAATCAACACCGGAGACTTGACAAGAAGAGGGGCCACCTGACTTGCTTTCCTGAGGGCATAAGATTCCTTAGCAAGCTCATCCCGGGCACTGAGAGCCTCTATGGATCAGCTGGGCTGAGGGGAGGAGCTCCAGTAGCAAAGAAACAAAACACCCACAAGATCAAAGGTGAGCTTGAGGAGTTCCCTGAATCAGGACCCCAGAACTAATTAGGTGAGCGCTGGTCATCCTTCCCTACCACGCCCCTTTGCCCTGGGGAGAAAAAAGGCAGAAACTGAGCCTAGAGAAACAAGACACTGTGGTGCTTTGCCTTCTAATCCTTTTCTCTTCTTATGGTTAGAAAGCCAGACTCTGGGAGTAAAAGCAAATATGAAGTGTCCCTGACAGAGGGGACACAGGAGAAGGGCACAGAACCGCTGAGATTCCTCAGAGTCTTCTTGGGGTTGGGATGTGTCCTCGCTGTCACAAAGGAGAATGCAACGCTCGGCAGAGATCCAAAGGGGAGTGGTGTTTTTAAAGGTGGGAGAGAGAAGAAGGCAAACCCACAGCCAAAGGCCTAATCTGACAACAGCTGGTCAGCAGGATTCGGTTTGTGCTGCGGGACGCTTTCGTGTGGCTCCGAGGACATTGACAACTGGGGCCACTTTAAGAACAACAGAAGAAATTCCGCCCTCTCATTCTGTAATCAGGAGTCATTTTAAACTTCACATGGAATCTCTGGGTTTAACCATTAACCTTGGTTTCAACTGAGTTCGAGCCGCTTTCCTTAGAGCCAAGCGCATCCACAAATGTTCAGAACTGAGAATGTTTGGAAGGACCACGCAGAGGACGAGGACACCCTTTCCATTCAGGAAGAGAGAGCTGGGAAGTCTGGAACAATGGCGACAGCCTTTTCGCCAGTCTGTGGGCCTCTGCTGAAGAAGAGAGAAATGTAAAAGTATCCGTTGCTCTCTGTCCAAGTCTCGTCGGATGGACAGCGTGGAGACCATTTAAAAATGAAATAGAGATTGAAAAAAAAAGGGTAAAATAAAGTCATGGGTCATAGACTGTGGATTCTGCAAAGGGCCCAGGACCTCAGGAGTATCCACCCTGGCTCCTGGATGGCTCCAGACCCTGACAACCAACCCCAAGAGGCCTCAAATCAGGTAAGGGACGAATTAAAGGGAGGGATGGAAGTAACACTCCTGGGCTTCCTGGGAACTCTGCCCAGCAGAGGGCTCTTCTGAATGACTGACCCAAAGCAGAGGCGAAGCTGTGGCGTTTTATTCTCCCCAGCCTGTCCCGGACGTGTCTGAACCCAGCCCAGAAGGGAGGCAGGCAAGATTACAGAAGTCTTCACTGTCTAAGGTTCCATTTTACTCCCCCAAGTAAAAGTGAGCGTGGAAATGATCCCCCTGACGAGGTACATGATTCCCGGAGAGGCCCGGCTCAGACTTGTCTCCATGGCGGGGCACAGTGGAGGTTGGTCCCGGGGGCTGGAAGGAACATTTTTGCGGAGGGAAGCAGTTTAGGCTTTGCCGAGATCACTGGTGTAAGGAGACAAGAAGAATGCTGGGCCATGGGTTCTGAAAACAAAGGCATGGATCGCAGGAGCCCACTGGGCCGCTAAAGAGGCAGGGAAGGGAAGGGACAGCAGCCAGCCAGCCCCTGGATGTGAGCCCTGCTGGATCTGGACGTTCACCCAGTGGAATCAGGAAGAGCTGGCAGAACCCCTGCTGTGGAGCTCTGCTGCCAGGGAAGCCAGCACACTGCTGCGGTCGGGAACCCTGAGTACTGGCAGGAGGCAGATGTGAGTTTCTGCTTTGATGCTGTGTGACCTCCGGCAAAGTTACTTTTGAAAGCTCAGTGTCCTCGTGGCCACAGTGGAGCCACGGCCCCTCCTTTGTGGCTGTGTGGGGTACTCTCTAAGTGAAACAGCCAACACGGAGAGGTATTGGACATGCGGGAAACAGTAGCTGTGTTATCTAGATTGCTGGACTGGGGAGAGGGTGGCAGTGGGTAGTGAGTTATAGTTAGATGGGGGTTAGACTGGCTGATGTGCTAGTTCACAGTGTGGTAACCAAAGATAATAACACACTATGTTTCTCAAGCTAAAATAAAGGATTCTGAATGTTCTCGCCACAAGGAAATGATGGAGATCACTGTGCTTCCCCTGTTTATACGTTAAACAATACATGCACATATGGAAACATCACATCGGCGTGCACAATGTTTACGCTTTTGTGTATCACTTAAAATGAATTTAATTAACTTAAAAAGATAAAGGATATGGGAGGATATGGGTATGTCAGGATAAAGACCAGCAGGATGCATCACGGTTTTTGGTCCTGGCACAGATGTAGGATGAGAGCCAGCACTAATTTGCCTGTAAACAAAAAGGTGAGAATGGGAATTTCCCTTGGGGTGGGTCTTTCAGGTGGCCAGACTGTAAAGGCTGTGACAATCTTTTTTTTTTTTTTAGGCTGGGCGGGGAACCCAGTCCCTCACCACTGAGCTCCGCCCTGTTCCAATTCTCCACTCCTGATGCACTTGGCTTGTGGTGGATGATATGGAACGGGACAGTCCTGAGGTCTTGACAAAGAGACCCTCACTACCAGGAAGTCTGACCACAGGCAGCAGACTCAAGCTGTGTCTGTCCGACTGCGCTGTGGAATTATTTAGCAGAGCTAATGGAGTGAAATGTCCTTGGGGATCCTGGGCGCTCTTCTCTGATTGATGGATATTAGACTCTGAACCCACGTTGGTGGTAATGAAGAATCACATAAGCGCAAGAGAGAGAGTGCAGGTAGCTGGAGCTAAAATGACCCCTTTTGATGGTGTCTCAGAAATTCTGGCTATGTGTATACAGGTTGAGCATCCTTAATCTGAAAATCAAAAATCTGAATGTGGCAAATGCAAAACACGATACCCCAAATAGGAAATTCCACACCATTGAACTTTGTTTTGTGTTCAGAGTTATTAAAAATACTGCATAAAAGTACCTTCAGGCTATATGTATACAGTGAATATAAAACTTAATTAAGTGAATTTTGTGTTTAGACCTGGGTCTCATTCCCAAGATATCTCTTCACATGGACGCAAGTGTTCCAAAACCCACAAATTACGTAAAATCCTAAACACTTCTGGTCCCTAGTATTTCGGGTGAGGGATGCTAACTTGGGACTGTTCGGCAGCTGGAAATCCTCTGTTCACATTGTCTCATGAGTTTCTCACCCACACCTGTACGATGGGGAGTATGGCGAGATGGTGATTATTCTCATTTTACAGAGGAGAAATGAAAGGTTCCTGAAAGTAATGCCACCCATTCAAGGCCGCACAGCCAGAAGGTTGTGCCAGCTATGCAAATGTGTGAGATCTGCATGCAGATGGCCCACTTTCCGGGAAAGTCTTCCTCTGGCCCTGAAACTTTTATCCTCCTGGGCTCAGGCTTCGATCCTCAGAACCAGACCATGAAATGGGGTTTCCCTTACAAGAACTCAGGTGATGGAGTTGGGATATTGCAGTTCCACACTCACCTAGTTTGGGTTAATGGAAAACTAAACTTCCAGATGCTTCCTGCTCTCTTGGCAAATCAGCTCAAGAACCCCACAGCCATGAGCATTGAGTAAAAATCTTCAGTGGGGAACAATGGAAGTGAAAGCCTCTTGAGCTGGCCCTGGGCCTCAGACTTCCTAACAAAAATAGTTCATAAATCCCTGGTAGAAACACAGACGCCATCCCCTACTTGAGCCAGGAGAACTTTGCAGCTCCTGCAACCTGGATGTATAATCCCAGAATGTGTTGATAGCACTCTCCTTCTTGCTTTAAGTGAAATACAGAGCTGAAGCAATAGGAGCCACTGGTGTCTTTGTGGGTAGTAGTTTCCTCTCATATATTTGCCAGGTTATCCTGAAAAATGGAAGCTTTGTTTCTGACACTGTTTCCAGCTAAAGCCACACCTGTTTTCTGTTTTAGATTAAGTACCTTAAGTGACATCTATATATATGTGAGTCTAGAATTTGTATATCATTCCTAGCAAGCACTCCTGAAAAGGACATCTTTCTCTCTCCTTTGGGTAACTATACCTGATTATCCTAATTAATGAAGATCTGCTACTCCACTTTTAATCACCACAGTTCAGATGAGGCCATGACCACCTTACGCTATGTGACTCTGGCTAATCAGTCTTAGTCACATTCTCCTTGTTCGAACACAACACCCAACACCCACGATTTAAAAGAGGAAAGATTTATTTTGGTACATATTTTTAGTCCATAGTCCACCAGCACCAAAGCAGGATAGCATCACAGAAGAAAAGCTGCTCATGGCATGGCAGACAGGAAGAAGAGAGAGAAAGGAGGAGCTAGGGAGGGAGACGAACCCTTCCAGGGTACATCCCAGTGACCCTCCTCTTCTGACCAGGCTACCTCTGTACAGCACATTTAGCTAGAAGCTCATCAGTAGACTAATCCCCGATGAGTATGAGTACAGCACCTGTGATCTAATCACCTCCCCAAAGCCCTGCCTATGATGCATAAGGCTTTAGGGGAATTATCTAGATATAAACCATAACACAGAGCATCAGGTTCAAAAATGACATCTGACCCAGCCAATGGCAATCAGAGGGAAGACACAAAACTGTGATCTGGTTGGAGCTTTTAGAGAAGAAGGCATCCTCTATCTGCTGGAGCTTACAGGAAAAGCACCATGTGGAACCTGGGAATGAAGGGAACATGAAGAAACTAAACCCAACAGATGGACAAAGGCCAGGATTCAGCTGCATCTAAGGCTGTGCAAGTCGTGGTCTTTCTGTCTACTAATCTGACCAAGCCTCTTGCCCCATAAGCCAGTTTGCCTTGGTTTTCTATAGTGTGTGTGGGGGGGGAATCCTGTTGCATTCACAGTGCAGATGATTTTCTGTGGTTTCTTTGCTACTTAAGCAAATAGAAGAACCTAATACACTACTTACAAATAAATTCAGTTTTAAACTCTGACACACATTCACTTTTGTTTCCAACTCACCAAAGAACGAAAGCATTATTCTAGGTTCATAAGAATGTAAACTGCCTCCATACCATCTGAGATGGTGCTTTATCCATCTGTGGGCCCACTTTCCCAAGAACAGCCCAAGGCCAATATTTTTAGATTGGTGCCACACAAGGTGTGATTTTCAAAAAATGGGGTATGACTTACTGTACAAACTCTGCCAATCCTACCTGTTCTGGAAAAACCCAGCCCCAGTGTATAAGAACTGGCCTTGCGTTGTGAGAGCCTGAAGAAGAGGCAGCGTGATGCTGGATTTCCCTGAAGGTGTTTACTGGGACCTTCCTGGCAGAGCTGTGGTCCTGGGAGGGATCAAGACCAAAGCCTCCCTGGAATCTGGGCCAGAGAAGAAGTTGTAGCATGGCCAGGTAAAAGTGACTTCATCCCCACTGGTTTATCTGAAGATAACATCACAGACGTTGGGCACATTTCTGATGCTCATAGTGCCCAGTTCTGGTTGTAAAGCTATTGTGGTTTGAGTTGTTATTTTGCTTGGAGGGGGCTGTTTGTTTTAGATGATATTTTTGTTTACTGTTTGTAGTGCTGGAGAAAAAGCCCTGAGCCTCACATATGCTAGGCAAATGCTCTCTTGCCAAGCAACACCCACAGTACTTGGTTTTATTTATTTACTGCAAGCTGGGAGACTATGCAAGGAAAACCAACTACCAGGTTACTCAGTCATGGGTGTTGAGCACTATTCAAGATGGCTGTGGTGGTGTACACTGAATCCCTAAACTACTCCCCAGTAATTTAGCCAAAAGAAATGAAAACATGCATCTGTACAGAAAACTAGATATAAAGGTTCACAGGAGCTCTACTCATAGCACCCCAAACTGGAAATAGCCAACATGTTCATTAATAGAAAATAGGAGAAAGGATAATGTTATGGTCTGTATGAGAAATGTTCCCCAAAACTTCATGTACTGAAGGTCTGGTCCACAGTGGAGCACTGTCCAGAGGTGAGAGTCTTTGGGAAGTGCCTGGATCGTGAGGACTCTGGCCTCATTAACAGATGGATCCATGGGTGGATTCATAATTGGATAGCATTATTGGGAGGGTTGGAAACTTAGGAGATAGGCACTAGCTGGGGGAAGTAGGTGACTGGGGTCATGCCCTTGGATAATGATGGTGAAACCTTTAGAGCTTTCAATGATACAAACAGCCTGCTGTGGGGCACGTGTGCCATAGGTTCACCACTGCCTAGGAAGTTTCTCTCTCTCTCTCTCTCTCTCTCTCTCTCT